ATATGCATATATCAACAAAAATTAAATTAAGATAGCGTCCTTATTAAGAACCATAATGCACGAACAATGTCGTATGCAATTATTTCAGGGACGTAGCAACAGGAGGGGGGGGGGGGGCCCCCCCCACTTTTTCTCCCCAACATTACCTTTACTATAGTAATTGAACATTGAAAGGATGGTTCCCCCCACTTTTTACCATAGTAGAGAAGTGAAAGTAATGTGACTTTGAAAAAGTTGGCCACCCCCCCCCCCCCCCATGAAATAGGATTTTCGACTTTGGGCAACTTTCAATTTTCTGGGAGTTTTTTTTGTTTGTTTGTTTGTTTGTTTTTTTTTGCTTGTCAACTTTTTCAGGTAAGTAAAAAAAAATTCTCTGGTTGCCCCCCCCCCCCCCCCCACTTTCACAAACGATGCTACGTGCGGCCTGTATTTCATTTATGTCCTCGTGTTTGTTTTCTATTTACAAACTTAAACTGTATACACACACACATCCTCACACACACAAAACAACGTGAATAAAAGAAAGATATATCGTTCATTCAGAAGTTTAAGATTTATTCGTGATCATAAAATTCTTCAAGCTATAAATCATGTTCCATCGCTTTTCTTGATGAATCGTTTTCTCGGAAAAAGTAGCAAAATCAATGACCAACAATACCGGTATTTCAAGTAAAGAAAATTAATTTTTTGGAATTCAGCAAATATTAAACGCGGTCTACATTTTAAGAATAGCTCACAAAGGGAACAGAAGAGTAAGTTATGGCTTGTTTTTTGAGTTCATTTTTTTTTTTTTTTGCTCTGTATCGGGATTAAAACATTGAAATCCGACAACGTCAAGTTGACGTCATAACGTCATCGCGTTATTTTCTTACGAAAACATCCTATATTTAAAGAGCTCTCTAGGAGAAATGGTTTGAGATAATAACAAAAATTAAAATGATTTAGGAAGTGGTCACTGTAGACATCTTTCAAGAACAATTTAAGGATATCCGATTCTCAGCCAGGAAGGATAACTCCAAAAATACATATTTAATTTGAAATACATCAAAATAAAGCTTGAAAATGAATTTTTTTCATGCAACAATTTTAATTATATTCATCTTTATAAGATTCAAGGTTTTAGGAAGTCTTAGAAAAGGTCTTATAAAAGTTGACATTTGTACCCTATAAATGGAAAAAAAATTAATACAGTTTTAGAGTAATAATATTTTCTTGAATCCAGCCTTATATACCAATGTCCATTAGCATGATATGAAGTAAGACGTGATTTGTGGTGTCTTGCAATGATAGCAAAAGCCTTTTACACTATGTATTATAGAATACATGACGGAAATAGAAGACAAAAATACCAAATAAGTATAAAAAGCATGACAATTTCTCTGAATGCCTGGATACCTATCGTTTTTTAACCTAAAATATATTTTTTGATCAATTTGCCATTAAAAAATGCAAAGCTAATATTCCTATTCGCTTTTTCTGCAAAAATATTGGAGATTTGATGATTTTCCCTATATAATATGATTAAATTTAATCTTGAACTTTAAAGAAACACTGTGGATAAATTTACATAATTTTGTGGATTCAGAGATACTTTTATGAGTACTTTTGATTACTTAACTGCTAATTTTATAAACCTGAGGATCGGACTACCTTAATTAGAATTTGGGACAGGGCGGATTTTTGCGCATACCGTACTTTCTTCTTTTCAATTCTTTCATGTACAGTCGATTCCATTTCTGCTACAGTATAGCGGGTTATTTTAGCGGGGTGATAATTTTGTATTATTTTGGCGTTTTTATGATAATACGCTAAAATTTTAATCGCTAAACAAGTCAGTACTCCGCTAAGTGTCAATCTCCAAAAAGCTTAAACTGTGCGGCCGCTAAAATAAGTTACGCCAAAATTATTGACATACGTTTGAGTAGGCAAAACGCCAAATTTTACACCCTCCAAGAAAACCCGCTATACTGTATCTTATTTAGCAGTCAGAATTGATAAGGATATTTTTGATGAAACTATGAAGGTATGACAACGCTGCTACATATTAGCATGTAGGTTGCAGGATAGCAAATTGATAGCAAAGAGCTTCAATTTTGCTTCGTTTGAAGCGTAATAATTCAGTACTTCCATTAAATTTATAAACCCGTAAAGAGAGAAAAAACGCTTAGCTAAGATCATGACTTAATTATAAAACAACAGCCTTTTGTACAATATGTTTTATCCTTTTCTAGTTTTTTTTTTATTTTTTTAAATATTTTTCGTTATTTTATTAAAATTTCAATTAATGGGTGTTTCTTTTTTTTATTTGGATTTGTGAGTTTCCAGCAAAACTAATTAAAAAGTAGATAATATATTCTGCATATGAAGTTACATTGGATCATTGTTTTTATTTCCCGCATATTATAATAAAGGATATCGAAAAAAAAAATTGTTGAAATATTGTTGTTGAAACTTTCATAGATTACAATACAACAAATGACTAAAACAATTGATAAGAAAGATATCCAAGACCTTGTGTATTTAATGCCCCCGTAATCGAAGATTATATAGTTTTTAACGTGTCCATCAGTCTGTCCAGATGTCTCTTTGTTCTTTTGTCCGCAAAAACTTTAACCTTAAGATTCCTCGTAAGTTTTGATTCAATGGAGCTACGATTTTCACTTTTTACATATTTCAACATTTTCCTGTTGACGATACATTTCTTTGGGTACCACCAAATTTGACCTTTTCAATTGATCTTGGAGTTTGATACCTTCTACACAAAATTCCAAACTTTTATTTCGCCCATAACTTTTGAACGGTAAATGCTAGGACATATCTCCTTATATGTTATTTTTGAGACAAGGCCTTTCAAAGGATGCCAACATATTGGATCTTTTGACCTTGGAGATTTATGTACTTAAAAATTTTTTTTTATCCTTGGTCATATTTTTTAACGGAAAGGGCTAGGGTTTCCATACTTCACATGCATGTAAAATGTCTGTGGCAAGACCTTTCATTGGTTACCAAGAACTTTGACCCTTTTGACATTGGAGTTTGACCTTTTTTTTCAAAAACAAATGTTGACCATAACATTTAAGGGTTAGGACTAGGGCTTTCTTACTTCACGTATTTAATCAATGTGACAAGAATTTTCATTGGATACGCAAAACTTTAACCCTTTGACCTTGAACTTGGAGTTTTATGTCTTTTTAAAAGAAAAACATCAAAATTTTCTAGCCATAATTTTTGAACGGTTATGGTTATTGCTTTCTTACTTCGCATATTTAATTCATGTGACAAGATCTTTCATTGTATACAAAGAACTTTGACCCTTTGACATTGACCTTGGAGTTTGAACCACTTTTTATAATCTTTAACCTTGGCCATAACTTTGAACAGCTAGGGCTATGACTTTCAAACAGATATTGTTTTAATGTCTTTTTTCTTTCTTTTTTTAGAAATTAAATACCACGTCATTTTCCAAAATCAAAAAAAAAAAAAAAAATTAAAAAAAAAAAATAAAATAAAATAAAATAAAATGTTCTCAACTGTTTCTCATCTACAATTTTCGTTAAGTTCACTTTATGCATAAAATGGTTTTGTACTTCTATCAATTATTTAATTATCACCCTCTTTTCCATTTCATATATCAAAATAAAACCGAGACTAAGTGCTTTCATTTCCTATAAAGGAATATCTTATTGGGAATCCAAGTGCTAAAAACAGGTTTTGAGAGAATGCAATGATCTTAATTCTTGCAGAAAACGTGCATATTTGACTACCATAAGCAAAGAATCAAAATATGATTAGAGCTCACGATCCAAAAAAATAAATACTGTTTTTTTATCTTTTGAAACAGATGTTTTGCTATTATTGGCATATTTTGGATCAGAGGTCGTGCTCTTTATGCTATATTGAAAAAATAGTTCAATTATAGGCCATTTTCAAAAGAATTTACAGGATATAGGAAAGATGCCCTATTTTACGACCTCATAATGCATTAACTAAAGGAGAAAAAAATTACGCCATGTTCAATAGATTCATAGTTAGCGAGAGTCCAATTGATAAATACTGCATTTTCGGATTATTCCGAGCAGTTTTTGTCAGAAATTCTCATACAAATAGCAAAAATTATAGGACACAATAAAGATAATATACATATTAAGTTAAAAATATATCAATTCTAGCCTGAAATATTAGAAATCAAGGATGAAATTTGAAAGATATCTTTTAGTTATAAAGTCAAAGCAAGCGTGCTTGTGTGCGTAAGAACTAAAATATGTATATATTTTCTTTTAATGAGTTTCTCTCGAAAAGATAGACAATTTTCTTAAATCGATCAATACTTTGTTTTTCTTGACCGTGATTTTAAAGGGTAACGACATCTAAATTCATATTCACCAAATCTTTAAGAGTTGAAACGTTTGGGAAGTGTGTAAAATTGACCTAAGTATGTCATTATAAATATATCCTTGTTCTTCTTGAACTACGAAATAGTCATACATATTACAATAAAATCATATCACAACTATGATCTGTTGGGAGCACTAAAGACCAGAAAAAATGTTTCATGAACAGAAAATATGTTTGTTAATGCTAGTATTCTTACATGATGCAAGCCCTAGTTGTTACAGGTAAAGTTTATTAAGTATCGTTAATGTAAAAATGTTATTTACTGTAAGAAATTCTACTTAATTTATTTATTATTCTTTTTTTTTTATAAAGAATAACTAAAATATCTTAAAGTATTTTCAATAAATTTTCTTTTTCATTTTGTAAAACAAGAGGAAACAAGACTTGCTGTTTCGGATTCTACTGGAATGAAAAAGAACAACGATGCACAGGTAAAAATAAGGAAAATCATATTTGTATTACATGTAAACTTGTATCAGAAAATTAAAGAATTAAGTTTGAATTTAAACAATTAACATGTATGTTCTTAACTGTGTAAGATATATTTTACTACATTAAAAACGCATACAAATTAAAACTAACATTGAATATTTGAAAATTTTTAGATTGTGCTGTGGGTTATTTCGGGCTTAACTGTGTAAAACATTGTCGATATCCTAATTATGGGAAAGGATGTCAGAAAAAATGTGCCTGTTTAGAGGCGTTTTGTGTCCCAACAATTGGCTGTGTTGATGCAAACAGTGAGTTTTAGCATATATTATAATAAAATAGGTATAAATTACCCCCTCCCCCCCCCCCAAAAAAAGAGGAAAAATCGAAAAATCTGATGCATAGCTAGAGGTATATATATCTTAGGCTTCCTTTTAAAAATGTCATAAAAATTCAACGATATCAGTATTATTTCGCATTTCAATAGAGGACTTTGTGTCATTTTCTGTCCAATTCTATTCAAAATTTTGCTAGTTTTGTGTGAGATTGAAAATAAAATCATTGAAAAATGTACATGTACATTCATTTTGGCAAAAAATTGTTTTGAGTTATAAATGTGAAAAAAATATTGCTTTTTGTAATTTAGAAGAGAATGAAAGCTCCATGAAAAACAAGACCGCAACTTTTGAGATTACGACTCACAGAAGCGAAAAAGAGGACGATGTTTTCTCCACTTCTCAAAATAAAAAAAACAATATAACCAATATGACTATCTCCATTGCAGTTATAGGTGTTCTTGTCCTAATGCTTATTGTAATAGCACTTATAAAAGTTTTTAGAAAGAAAAAGCGAGAAGTGGATAAAACACTCCAGCTACAAATGAGTGCTGCCCCAGTTTCTCTCAACAACAGAAATACATCCCGTCTAAGTGAATCAAACACATACGATATTATTCCTGAAAATGGACAGACACGAGATAGACCTTGTTTAAATGTCAATCCGCTTTCTGATTTTCCTGACGATACACAGAAAAAGAAATACACAGCGAGTGCTTCTAATGCTGGAAACATTTACCTGGACACTTGTCAGTCATCGTCATCAAGAGAATCAAATCATTTTTATTCGCCTCTGTAACACAAGAGAGAGAGAGAGAGAGAGAGAGAGAGAGAGAGAGAGTTTGGATTATTGAGATATGTTGTTACATTGAATTAAAACTTTTGTTTTACTTTTTTAAATTTTTATCATACAGTCATACGTGTTGATGTTTTGGTACAATTGCATGTATTCATCAATTAAATAATGTACAAATTAGAAATATTTACATTAAAAAAATATTGATCTTCGTTTTCAGTTCAGCGCTAACGTTCTACAACTACATGATATTATTATACCAGTAGTTGTGTTTGTTTGTAAAGGGAGAGAGACAATTCAATTGTGTTATTATCATTACGGTGATTATTGGTTGTAACAAAGGTGATAAGTAATGATTTTTCAGTTGTATATTTCTATATGATTTGAAAAAGCCCAGAATATTTCAATTTAAAAGAGATATTAGTTATGTATACACATTATAAGTCGATCAGAAGTTATATAAGAACAGATACTTACTAGTTTATACATGTACTGTTCATTGGATTTCGTTTTTTTTTTTCATAATAACTTAAATCATTTACTACATTGTATAAATGAAGGCAACAAAAGTAGAGATATAGATTAAAATGACAATATTATGTATTCCTTGCATGAATTTTAATATTTGATCATTCATTATTGAAGACGTTTATATCTGTAAAAATATCATGCAAGCATAAGAATAGCTTTTTTCCCAAACCTAAGAAAATGCACTTTAACATTTTTTTCTAATAGCTCTTAAAAATGTAAGGAAAGTTAAGCCGCGGGGCAAGCAAGAATAAATAACGTTATTATAATAAAACAAATTAGTGTGTGGGTTCAGTATGATATCCTCATCACCATTTACATTTTGTCATGCATGCATTCTTTGTAAATTTCAAATTGTATAGAGTAAATATATCTTATTGACACAATAAATTTAATAGAGTACTTGAACCGCAATTATGACAAAGGTTTAAGCTCTTAAAGCCTTTGAAATATAGTGCAAAATACAAGATTTGTGTGGAAGGATGATTCTTCTCTGATGGTATGATGGTACATAATCATTGAATCTTGTACCATGAATTGTAATGATTTGTAAATTTGAAAAATACTCTATAATTATTTAATTCTTTAGAAATACTCTAAATAAATTCATTTTTGCTGCTTACTTCAAATGTTTTCCCATGTGAAAATGATACATTCTACATTTTGGAGTGAACGTTTCACTGATTATTAAATCTAAAGATCATTAATTGTTTTAAATCTGTTTTGGAAAAAAATATATGTGCTTTACATATTACTTCCTCAAATATGAGTTTCAAACCCTACGTTGATCATCTGAGTCATACGGAATTCATTGTACTTCAGGAGAAAGTTGTTCTAACCCATATTGAAGCTCACATACGTTCTCCAAATGCTATCACGACTAAACAATTTTGAAATACTCTTCAACAGAGGATTTTGTAAGGTTTTCCTCTATAAATAAATATATTTTACATGTCACATTCTTTCCCAACTTTAGAGACAAACTTAAAACCGAACCACTAAATATTCCAGTTAACACAAGCAAATTATTTATTTAATAGATTGATCTTTTAAACTTCATCATTTTATAAAAAAATAAAAATATTATGTTATGTTTTTTAATAAATTTCTGTAAACGTTCAGCAACTTCTCATCTGAGGATATGAAGATCTCAAAGGATTCTTAATTCTAAACAACATGTCTCCTCAACCCCACAGCTGAACCCATTACCAAAGTTCGTATGATGTTTATTAATCATTACCTTAATTGTTTTTTACTTGAAGAGCAAATATTTCTGGGGGTAAATCACTTGAACTTTTCTAAGTGCATATTTTGAGATCAACAAATTTGAATTTGCTATACAAGTGGTTATGTTTATTTTATCTCCACTTCTTTCATGCCTTTGCAATTTGTCTAAGACTTCTTTCGAAGGAAAACAGATAAACGGTTTAGATTAATATTGCTCAAATAGGTTGCCTCCTCACCATTCGATTGCTTGACGTCACACACAAATACAAATAAACAAACAAACTATCGTGCAAATATATTGTTTTGTGTTAATGCTGTTTATAAACATCATATTAGCCATGTTAGCATAACAGTCGTTTTTTACATTTGCTTTCCTGATCAATAAATAAATGAAACATCATAATGTTGTTTTATGTAATTTTTCACAGCACTTTCGAAAGGTCCACACGTGTTTTAAAATGATTATTACGGGTCTTTCTGTTGGGACCTCACCGATGCCCCGTATCACGGTATCACTGCTCAATGTTCCTGAGTGCCGAGTAAAAAATTTAAATTCGAAGGTACATATAAATGATGCGGTCTCTTTATGAGTGGAAAATTCTCGAATGTGACTTAATCAACATTCAATCAGTCATTTAATCTGAGAATTTTTCACTCATAAAGAGACCGCATCATTTATATGTACTTTCGAATTTAAATCTTTATTCAATAAATCCAAACCGTTTATTTGTTTTCCTCAAGTCGTAGCAAATTTCAAAGGCAATTAGAGAAGCTGAGATAAATTAAACATAAACAGTTGTATATTAAATTCGAATTTTTAAATTTTAGGTGCTAAGTACATGTAAAAAAAAGACACGAAGTTCAATTTCTAAACAAAATGGGGGGACACTTTACACTTTATTTGACACTTTACCGGAAAAAAATATAACGTTTTTAATCTATTTGAATTTCTAAGTAAAGAATGAATCCAACTTCTTTAGTTCCCTTGACCCAGGGCCCTGAAATTAACCATTTTTAAAGAGGCACCTTCTTTCATATTAAATATGTACGTAGATCATCGGCATCATATCCAGGAGCAAAGGAAGAGATTTTAAAGGAATCCATGCATATTCATTATAATTGCGTGGACCCTGAGGTCCACGCAGTAAATATATAAGCGAGGTTAAACCGGATGTCATGGGCAAATGACAGGCTACGCATGCGCGAGAATGCTAGAGAGTTCGCCCCCTAGGTAATTTGCCTCCGAAAAAAAAATCTGCGTAATACATAGCTGTGCTATACGTGTACCATCAGATATACTTCTCCCATGATAGATTTCTTCCGTATAAATCCAGAATAAATGTCAAGTCCCAGACATTATGGGTTTCATGTATCAAAATATCTCGATTTTTTAAACTGACAAAACTAAAGTCTAATCGGAGATAAAATTTAACAATACAGTCATTAGTAGGCAGATCATTGTAGAAAATATGAACAAACCAAGATGAATATTCACTACACATAGAAATTTTCTTAAAATGAATTTTGGTTAGAAACAAATGCATATGGTCCACGTATTGCAGTCCTTTTTTAAAGGACAGCAACTTGTTATAATAATTAGAGTTCATACTTAACATCAGAACCCCTGACCAAGGGACACTGAAATTCACGAATTTGGTAGAAATATCCTTCTTTATCACATACTTCATTGCCCAAATTTGAGGAGGAAGTTTTTAAATAATTTTTGCATTTTCCCTTTATATGATCAATAAAGCCCCGCCATAACACCAGAACCTTTGACACTGGGGCCATGAACTGCAAAGTTTTGGAAGAGGACTTATTCAACATAACATTATATATTGTACTTGGATATTTTATTTAATGAACCCAGTCGCAGAGAAGAATGTTTTTAAAAAAATTATGTATTTTACCAATATAATCAATAGAGCCCTGCCCAAATACCAGAACCCCTGACCCAGATTCGCAATTTTGGAATAAGCATTGATGCTCATTATAACTATGTACTTTGTTTGTTTAATAGCCATGAAGAGAAGAGGATTTTCAGAGAATTACATGTAATGTGTTTTCACTATATAATCAAAAGAGGCCCGACCTAACACCATTCCAGAATCCCTTACACAGCGGCCAGGATATTCAAAATTTCACAATTTTGGAAGAGACATTCTTGCTCATCATAAATATGTACTTGGTTTGTCTTTTAATACCCAAGAACAGACTGAGAAAATTTTCAAAGAATTTTATGCTTTTTCACAAATAATCAATAGAGCCCACCCGAACACCAGAACCCCTGACCCTGGGGCCGTAAAATTAACAGTTTTGGAGTAAGAAAAAGCCTTATTCAGCATAACTATGAACTTGTTTTGTTTATAAAATGCCTATGAGGAGAGAAAATTTTCAAAGAAATAATGCATTTTCACTACATAATCTATATGGCCCCGCCATAGCTCTAGAACTGCAAAAACGGAGACCATGAAATTCACTTTATATTTAGCCCAGCCCTAGAAGTAGAACCTCTCAATCTGGGGCCATAACCTTTTTAGAGGTTTCAATACTCTAATAATCATTCAATCCCTCATGCTTCCATGGGCAGGGACCATGAAATTTATACATTTTGTTCCCCCTTTCCCGTAGATACTTTTTGCCAAAATGGTTGGAATTGGTTGAGTGGTTGCAGAGAAGAAGCTGTTCAAAGTTAACGCACGACGGAGGACGCACGAAAACAGATAGCTACAGGTCACCCGAGTTTACTAAAAAATAGAATCATGGACCTTGCAGCGCCTCGAGTTTCATGCAAAACAAGTGACATCAACGTTGCCTCTTCATAGCCTCATATTATTTCATTGTTTTATTAAAAATTACATATGCACCAATTTTCATAAATTTTGTCAAAAACACGATGAAGTTACATGCATTATATCGACAAATTACAGCTTATATCAAATTTGAAATATTAAATGTAGTTACCACGATTCATTGTCGAGAGGAAAAAAATCCATTTTCTTTCAATTGAGTTTTGGCTAATACTGCATGTAACACAGCTTGCTCTCTCGACAGCTGTTCATATTTTTTTTTGCAATCTCAATCTATGTATCTCTCACAGTACGAATATCCTAACCCATTGTTAAATACTATAGCATATCAAAGCAGCGCAAAATTCTTTTATAGATCTTCTGGTTCTGTTTTGTAAATGTATGTACAATGTATACCTTCATTAATTAAACATGCCTAGTCTTCTTTAACTTGTTATCTGGTATCCTCCCCCGTAATATTTATCAAAGTACCTTTAAAATTCAGTTGTTCAGTGAAACGAAAGTAGGAGTTTCCTTCACAAGATCACTGTAGACGAACAGGCAAGTCTCACTATCTTATTTACGGTATAATCATAAATTATGAATTTTAGGAAGAAAATGTTTACACTGGAATTCATAGCTTTAACTTTGAATTACCTTTTTAAATAAAAGAGCACTAATGTGTCTTTAAAAAGTCCAAATCCATGAACCCACTATCACATATTACATAATTAGCTTTTGCTTTACTAAAGAAAGACTGTGGGGGGTTTTAACACCTCTGTTCGTTGAGAGAGCAGAGATTGTACTCCTCCTTTCTCTGTGTTTTTTTTCTGTTAAAGTTGTAAAACCTGGATATACGAGTAAAGCTATTAAACAATTGAAAGAGATAGATCGACCAATTCAATGATTAGGTTCAGTTGTTTGTATTGCAAATGTTATTGAGGCGTAGAGTTTCCCCTCATTGACAAATGAGTCAATATTAACATACCGGTGCTTCTTATAATGCACGGAAATTAAAATAACTGAACCTGGAAGTTAAAGATAATGCAGGCGACAAAAATAATACTGACTCCGTCAAAATATATGTTTAATGTTTGTATAAATACTGCTTCAATGTGTAATAAATATAAATAAGGAGAGGGACAATTGTAACACATGTAATCCCTAACGAAATGCTGTCAGATTAAAACCATCTGACCCCTGCCCCCATCATCGTTGATGAAGAGGAAGGGGCGTTTCATGAAATATGCCTACGTGACAAGTCTGTGTGTGATTCACACACCGATATCTCACACAAAACTTAAAAACATTCCTTACATGAACTCCTCAGGCCCACAACAAGCAACTTTCTTGGAAATTCTAGTGTTTTTTAAATTAATTTTTAATTTAAAGCATGTTCAATAATATTCATGTTAAGACTATAATTAAAATATTTTTTTTTAGAATTCAATCAATAATTTACAAGCGTCATCAATATCAACACCTCGTATTCACTGACTGCTCAGTCCAGGCCGACGTCGCTAGATTAAATACAACGTAATGAATAAGGATGTCCTATCTTTATGAAATAAAAGTAATTTTCCACTTCTTGTAGTGTCTCTAGAATTTTATACACCTTTGAAAATTTGTATACATCAATTAAAAAAGTTTAAACCATTTTAAACTATAATTGTATGATTGGTCACTGTTTTAAAAAAAGAAAAAAATCAAGATTTGGCAGGAATTTTGAATATTTTGTTTATGTACATGTAACAAAGCATCAGTTAGTACCCTACACTTTCGATCCAGCTCGCCTTCGTAATATGAAATACATGTACTTGCCGACACCACTTGGGACCCTTTGAATATTCCAATAATATTTTGATTTTATGTTTTAAGGAAAGGATAAGGACAATATTTAATAAAGATGCAAATATGTCAAGATTAGAAAATTGCATGATAATACATGTACCATATTTTCATTTAGATATAGACATACGTGTATAATGAATGCTGAAAATAAAGGGAAGAAGGCACGCCTTTTGAGGTACCTTATTGCAATAGCATGGATAAAATTTGTAAGTTATATACATGTATTCTTTTTTTATTGTATGCCTTTGATTCATATTATCAATGTAAGAGTTATCATTTAGCATTTAAACAGTGGGGTAAAATTTTGTTTAAAAAATTTGTACCCCTAGTTTTTTTTCCACAATGCACCTTTATCATATTTTGAATTTTTGATTAACAGTTCCAATAAAAGTTTTGGATTTCTGGTCTTTTTAAAAATCTTTTAGAATTCTCATAAGTACAAATAACGCACCCGTCATAATTACATGTAGAGCTATGACCAATTATTGTAATAATATGAAGCAAAATGTATTGAGGATTTAAAACATTAGACATAAAAACACTGATATGGTTTTCAACTCAATCTTACGATATATCGACGATGTATTTTAAATCAACAATAGTTAGTTCCACTGACATATCCATCCAATTTATTCGATGAGTTTGAAACAACTAGAGGAACTGTGAGCAGTTGTTGCAACTACTATTTGAAAAAAAGACCATTATTGAAATTCTTATTTCAATAGTAATTGAGAGTGCATTTCAAAACCAAACACATATTATAACGGTTACCACAGTTTAAATATCTTTCACTGTTGTACTATCTCAATAGTTGTTGAAGGGGCATTTCAAAAATAAGTACAGGTTGCAAACAATATTGAAATAAAGTTCACTATTGAGACAATAATTTCAATAGAGGTCAATGCATTTCAAAACCTTAACAACGTTGCAACCATTATTGAAATAATGTTTATTATTGAATTTAACCACGCATTGTCAGCTTTGAAATTGAATTCAAAACACAAAACTAAATTCTCGCAGATACTTATAATCCATCCTCACAATGTCAAGGGTTTGTGATTTCTCGAACTCCAGAGAAATCACAAACCCTTGACATTGTGAGGATGCTTATAATCTTGCTACACTACAAATAGGGATAATAAATCCAACGCCTACTCGTCGAGACATTTAAAAATAAAACTGAAAGGGAGTTACTGTACATGTAGTATAAACATCACATGTATAACATGTCGGAAAATGGTTATTATTTCAATTATTGACACACATATATAACTTCAAGTGAAATAATGTCCGATATTGAAATAATAGTTAAAGCTGACATGAATTCTTAAAAACGCAACATGTTCATCTATGTACGACTTGTTTCATAGCCGTATTCCGCCATATTTCTCTTAGATACCTTGTCTCATTGTAACGATGTATACCCCAATGCGCTCGTTACACTTGAATGATTTTTTGGTTTGGGTGTTGACTTGTGCACATCTCCGATGGCAAAGCATGTGAGGTGATCAAGACATTTCAAAAACAAAATAAACAACATAATAATCATATTTTTGAATGATTATTGATTTGAATCAAAAGAAAAAAAAAGCAAGTTTGGAAGAGAAATTTAGATGCATGAGTACGTATTTTTACAGTGCGCCAATTTATGCAGAATACACTTGAAATAAAAAGCAGTAAAATTTGCAAACACATTTTGAAATTATATCATTTGAATGGAACAAAACAACCAACGTTTTTGATTTGCAGGTCCTATGCAATTGATGCATATCGAGAAAACGCCTCGAACGCTGTAAACGTACCTATACCTGGTAATAAGATTACTGCATCGGTTCGAAGATGTGCACAAGTCAAGTGAAATATACCCTGAATTCCATTTATTGAAATATGCATCACAAAAAAGAAATAAACTCCATAAAAGCTCTATAGTAAACACACTGTCATTACTCCGTACACACTAGCACGACGATACACTTAGTCCGTGCTGATCAGATTTTGGTCAGGGAAAATATCAAAAGTGGATAGAGAAGTTATTTGGTATTTGCGCGGCTGAAAGGGGGGGGGTATTATAACTTATGTTTATAAGCTATAATTGTGAATTGTTTATCTCCATGTAGTTCTAATATACATTCTATACAAAGTCATGTACGAGGGTTGTCCAAAAAGTTCGTGAACAATGACGTCTGTGTGAAAATAGATGGTTCTATATAAATCTGTTGTATATCAAAATATTTCTTATGAAAAAACAAGTCAGAATGATGAAGTTTTTATTGATGGAACGTAATATTTTTGTAAAAAATCGGGGTCTTTAGAGATCGAGGAGAGTGCGCACGGACCAAGGTTAAAATGATGTAAACTCTGATATAAAGAGTTTGGATTAAAATGATTATTTTCTATATAAAACACGTAAAAAATTAATAAAAATTTTATGTAACACAAATAAAGAGGTTATTATCATTTTATGATATCTTAAATATCGCTTACTATATAGACAACGAAAATACATAAAGAAAACCTTAGCATGTACTTGTCAAAACTCAACAGAGAAAATGACGTCGCCCGTCGGCACGGGGCAGCGTCCGGTCAAAAACTTAAGTTTTATAACGGTTGAAACGATGTAAGAGACACAACATTTGTTAAAACGACATAAAATTATTGAATTATATTGAATGTATCGATTTGAGATTCGTATATACGATTTTTCAACAGTGTGTACAAATTCGAAGACACTACAAGAATTTAAAAACACATGTAATTAACTGTAAATGGAGATTTCTATTCATGACGTTGTTATAAATCTAGCGCAGCGTCGGACTGGGCTGTTCAGTTTGGGTATACAAAGTGTTAATTTAGATGACGCTCGTAAATTTGTGTGCATTGTTTTGAATTTTCAAAATTGAATAAATTATAATTTATACTTTAAGATTTTTGCTAGCACTTCGAAGTGCGTTGCGCCTTAAAAAAAGAAATGTAGTGTGTGTCCATGAACGTGTTAAGTCAAAACCCAAATGTTTGACGTTATAATGAAATTAGCGTAACGTCAGACTGGTCCGTGTGCACAATCTGCGATCTTTAAAGACCCCGATTTTTACAAAAATATTAAGTTTCATCAATAAACATTAAATATTTCTTACTTATTTTTTCATGAGAAATATTTTGATATACAAAAGATGAATATAGAACCATTTATTTTAACAAAAACGTCATTGTCCACGAACTTTTTGGACAACCCTCGTATATAGTCTGCAGTTGGTTTGCGTCGCAAAATTCATTTGTCAATTATAACTGATTACTAGTATTTTAGTACTAATCTCAAATCTAAACAAAGTAATTTGATGTACGGCTATAATTTACTTCAAATCTTAAAAGCAATTAACCAGAAAACAAATTTTTATTTGTACATCTGTACATTTTTTAACACATACACACACGGAGAAAGGCCATCCCCTGTTCAGATTGACATTTAGGCATTTGATTGTTTGGACGGGGGGGGGCACACAAAATAATTGAAATGACCGTTATTTAAATATTCTTGGAAGACAGACATTTCTGCCGAATTCAGTATTGAGATTTTTTTAAAATGACTGTCACTCCGACCACAAAGTATGTACATTTTGAGGAATGTAACTGTTTTATAATTATGTTGTTACAGGAAGTATTTCGAGATTTCAGTACCCCTGCCTGATAGTCTAGGTATTTTTTTTTCTATATATAAATAATTTTTGTAGGTGAATTTGGGAGATAATTTTAAAAGCTAGGGTAGGGATACTTGACACTGGTTGAATACGGATAATTATTACTTATTCTTTTGTATATTGAACTCTCTCTCCCTCTCTCTCTGTCTGTAACCAGCCGTTGGGGCTATGATGAGTATAAAATCCTACGCACTTTGTGCTGTATCATTTATTATGCCTTAGGACAGATCAAGGATTTTTTTCAGGCGGAATGTCGAAACTTCATAGATTGAATAATAATTTTACTTTGGACAGGAAATTAACCCAAACGCCCAAATTGAAAGAGAAACTAGACGTACATGTATTATGAGCAATGAACTCACTAAATGATACTTCCTACCTCTCATATGGTTATAATGGCAAAGTCCATATTTCGCTAAACCCATACGTGTCAGATCAAAAAGTAAAATAGGAGATGCATTATGGTAATATGTAATATTAAACTTAAGATTCTTTGAAAATTTCATTAAATTACTCTAAGTGGTGTAAAAGGATTTGCGGATAAGAGATGGGTACCCCAAAGCGTAACAGACAGACGAACGGACATAACGATTACCCCCTCCCCCCCCCCCCCCCACTTTTCAGGCGGGGGATATAATAAACGTGAAATATAAATCACAAGAATGGGAACAATGGGAATTTTCTCGAATACCTTCTCAAACGTATGTGTCGAGCTTGGACAACAGACAAGAGAATTTCCTAAAAGCTATAGTTTTAGGTAGAATGTGGAATTCTCACGAGGAGTTTACTCGAGCTCTCTTCCTATATGCTTTTTCCAATAATCATTAATTATTTATGTCTAGAAATTTAATTCACATTAAATTTTATTTTAATTATCATTGTACCAAAGAATCAAACTCGTTTATTATACCCCACGCGTGACGTATAATGTTTTTGACCCGTCAGTCAGTCCTTTATATTTTGTTTTTTTTTGGTCAGCGCAACTTCTCATAACCACTGTACAGAGTTTTGTCGAATTTTGCAGATATTTATAGGAGAGAATGTGTGTGTTGATTTGCACATCACCAGGAAATTCCGAATTCTTTATTTTTTCGGGAAAGAATCTGGGTGGATTAGGCGAGTCATATGCCCACACGGATTTTGTCGCTCTGTAAGCATATCGGAAATTTTATAGTTATACGATCAATTTACCTAAACATTTAAACTTTGTACAGTACTGTCCAAATGACATTTTCTATATTTTAAACCATGCGATTATCGCTACAATTTTTTTTAACCTGCTGCTTTTCATACTGTGTGTTAATTGTTCTATCAAATATGTTTTCAGGGGTTTGGAAATGGTACGCTTTACCTTTCCATTTAACTGTTTTTGCATGCAGAATAGCCGTACCGTGCTGGTCTACCCATGATTATATACATTTCAATCGTGTTTTACAGTCTTGAACTGAATGCATTCAAAATATTATATTATCTTGAAAACTTGTTTATTATAGGATATATATTAATTGACCGTAAATAAATTCATCATCTTATCTATTCATTTTGTTTTAAGTGAAAAAAACTTAAAAATTCGTGATTCGAACACTCGCGACAAATAACTAGGTGCTTCAACACCGACGCTATGACTACTGAGCCACGAAGTCGCACATACAGTGCCCTTTAAATAGCAAACAGTTCTATATGTATAGCAAACGCACATTTTTGAGAATATGTTCCGAAATTTAAGTAGGTAAACTAACTTTTTTATATAGAGTGGGTCTTCGTACCATTTTTTTGAAAATGGTGAAAGAAACATCTTTCCACACACTTTCAATATTTGTTTACGAAAAAATGGTACGAAGACCCACTCTATGTAAAAAACACAGTTTTAACATTCCATTACTATCATTTTTATGGTTTCTAAGGCGTGTTACCATTTTGGTGGGTTAATTACAATCAATTTGTAAGTCATTTGATTCAGGTTTTATCTTTACTTTATGCATATGGTTATAAATAATTCCCAAATTTAACAAAAAGTTGAATTTGCAATAATTTTTTAATCAATATTTTATCTGCCCTTGCGTAGGCATTTGACTCGCCTAATCCACCCAGATTCTTCCGCACTTTTACATTTACCATATCTTAAATATAGAGGTGAGCAATTTGTCAGCGCAACTCCTCATAAACCTCTGCACACAATTTCGTCAAACTTTGCAGATATTTAGGACACAATGTGTATAGATGTGCATATTACAAGGAAATTACGATTCCTCTATTTTTTTCTTGGAATTTTTAGCACTTCGACTTTTGGGGGAGCGTAGTGTATGTTAACGTGCTCACTTTTTCTTTCATAGTGCATAAAATTATAAATAACTTTAAATCAAATTATATTAGGTCTAATAAAGCCAATACACAGTATTTATTTGATAATAATTGATCATAAAGAAATCCAATCTGTTTCAGACGTTTTTCTTACATTATTTTTATGAGAGTGTTATGCATGTTTTATCCCCCCCCCCCTTTATATCACGGGAAAATATCACGGGAAAATATCTTCAAAAGGTGAATGATTCATAATAATGCCTGCTTTTTAAATGAATTTGACGAAGTTAGACCATGTACTTAATCGTAAATTTTATTAACAACATGTACAGACAAGAGTAATGTTTATTTTTGAAAAAATTACTTGCATTTTTTTTTTCAGTCAACCACACTGAGCTTTCAACCTTTGATATTTTCCCTGACCAAATAAAATGATCGGCATGGGCCACGTGTGTCCAAGCATCTTTTACTGTTGGGTTAGCAATGGATTACATGACTTCTGAAATGCATTTTTCAATAAATATAAAATAGGATAATTCTTTCGACATGTGCACATCCCTGTAGCGATAGCAGAAGTCAGGTAAATGTTTTTATCACTGCGTTTGACGCGTTTTCTCGACCTGCATAGGTGTTTGATGTACATGTATGTATTACGTGTTAGTTTATTTTCTATATTGCAGCAAATGCATTCAATAATAATTTGACTCTCGGTATAGTTCTATTTTTTGTTGATTTTTACTTTTCCTACATGCATTTGGTCAGTTTATGGACTTCTAAAAACTTTGTTATCGGAGATGTGTACATGTCGACAGTCAGGCTAGAAAATCATTCAGTTGAAGCAATCGTACAAGGCTATATATAGCAGGTACAGGTGACCAAAATTTTTAGATTGAATATGGCGGAATCGAAGAAATATGGCGGAGAGAGGCGTACAGGAATGTAGTAAGTCGTACAAAGATGAAAAATGATGCCTTTTAAAGAGTTCATGTCAGCTTTAAAGTCTGCACATTCAATTAGACACGGACTGACAACAAACTGTGAGCGCGTTTTCCTTTCGAATATGTTTACTCTGAAATTTTCAGATTATAGTTTTAACAGAGGTATGTTAAGGCAGCAAATAGATTAGAATTTAAACATTTATGTAATATGTAAAACTGATATATAAGAAAATTCTTGTATATAAAACTTTTGCTATCGATATCCATTCTTTAGACTTCAATGTGTCTTAATAAAAAGTGAAAAGTTCAACACTACCCTGGGGATAAATAATTCCTTATTGAATTAATAGTTATTTAAAGTAATCTCTGTACCATAAAAAGTGCTGCTAGAATCCTAGCTACACTCCTATTATAGAAATATAATCATGCAATACTTTCGGATGAAACCTTGCCAAAATTTTTTACATTTTGTACAAGAGATAGGAAAACTTATCAATTCCCGTTAACTATACGATTCTAGCAGCACTTTCCAAATACAATAGAATAAGAACTTTCGATAGACATAAAAATTATGTTTCAAAGTATGCAGCGTAGTGTTGAACTTTTGCATCTTTTTTGTTACGAACGACAGAAGAAAGGTTGATATGCAAGTAAACACACTGTCTGCTTTTATTGTACGAGGAAATTGTAGAAATATATTAATTAGCATACCTTATTCATGAGCTGTATTCCCGCATGAATCACACGTGATATTTATTAAATGCTTTTAATCTCCGATTTCTTGTGTTTGTTTACATAAATTCTCGTTACGTTTCATTTTCACTCTGCTAATACTGATCAACAGTTATGACGTCTCGGGTTGTTATTTAACCCCCTTGACAAATACATAGATATTTATACCACGTAGAAACGAAAAAAGAACGTTTATATTAAGCTTGTGGATGTTTCAATTCATTTTGACGACCTCAAATCAATCTTGAAATATGGATTTTAAGAGATCGTTATCTCTAAAGTTCATGTCATGTAGCTTAATTTGACGCCATATTCTATAGCTAGGCAAGCAGAATATCTGGTTGTAACCTTAACATACCTGCAAATATTTTACCTTACAATACAGCAAAATTTCCATTTTTCCTAAGTATTAAGAACAAAATTATAATTCGTTAAAATGCAAGGACGTGTCAATCAAACCCGACTAGAAATTCAAAGTTTCAAATTTTGAAATAAAATAAGATTTTATAAAATTTTCTTGTGAAATGCCTTTCCAATATATAAGTCGTATGCGTAATATTATACAGAAAATTTGAGAAAATATTAACTTCAAATACGTGTCTATGCACCTTTAAATACAGATCCAATATATAAGTCGTATGCGTAATATTATACGGAAAATTTGAGAAAATATTAACTTCAAATACGTGTCTAGGCACCTTTAAATACAGATCTTTATTTGGTACTTTACTTTCATGAATATTTTAGATTTTTGGTTCCAGTGTCTGTAATTTTTGCCCTCTTTAAAATATCTGCATTTTAGAAGGAGACTTACAAGATCACTGATTGCTTGCACTCTTTTCTTTCTGAGATGTGCACCTTTTTTTTCTTTAATTGATACAAAATAAAAGGAAGGTGAGGTTCTCTCCCTTTGCAATGACCTCGATATATTAGAGCGAACGCCTATTTACTTTCAGGTGTTTTTACTTTATATAATAAGATACTAAATGTACTTGAATTAAAGTACTGATAACATACGTTCCTAGAAAGATTAACAGACATGGGATTTTCTATAAAAAAAATTTCAGGTTGTAAAAACTAACTCAGACTTACTTTTTTAAAAGGTGTTTGGACTTAATGAAGGTAAATACCCAGAGTCATTGCCAACGCTAAACGAAGTTCCAAATTGTCCTAGAAATAAGGAAGACTGGCAAGTAGCTGCAGAAGGAAAGCACTGTGACCAAATAAAAAATATCGAAAACACTCCGTTTGTGTATCACTGTCTAATAAATGCATGGGCAAATGCAACTGTGGAAGTCTGTGCTCCAACGTGGTACATATCAGGTGCATTTTGCAAATTAAATGTACAACTAGAATTAATATGATTAATTGCTATCCAAAAATATTTAATTTGTTTGATAATATAAAAATCTATGTTGAATTTAGCTATTTCGTTTCAGGTTACTGTGCAATGTACAGTGTTCCAGATGCTAGAGTAATTGACAATGAAAAGTACGACTGTACAAAATACACCCCTCCATGTCCACCACGTTACTTATCGTCAGAGGCTTACAAATGTAAGATAATTTAAAATTGCATTTTTCCATTACTTCAATCAATTCCTTTTTGATTTTTTGGAATAAACGATCTCTCCAGATTTAATTTAATTGTGATGTGGTTAATTATTTTATCAAGATAGTGTCTGCTACGACATTGCACGACCTACAACAACACAGACCATTCTACTAGTGAATTTAACACAGGAGAGACCAACAGACAGGTACGAAATTAGCCGGAAAAAATGCATGTGAAGCATTTATTCAACTTACTGTTAGTAACTGAATCTCAAGGAATATTGATTTAAATGATGATTAGCACCTGATCCTAACTCTCATGTTTTTGGGGTCCGTGTTTGCTCTGCTCCTAGTTTGTAGAGTTTAAGTAATTTTGAGCTTGAATACACTTTGTTGTTTTATTTAATTCAAATTCCAATTTTATTGTTTATAATTGACGCAAATAATCTGGTCGAGCATCGGCTCTTTAAGTTAGAAATATGATGGGTAAAATTTTATCATGTGGCCCACAATATACGGTTGTCAAGTTTTTTAAAAAAGAAACGACATGATACTATATCATATTGTATTTTATCTGTTAAAAGTCTCTTTGAATTGCTTCAAGACAATATGGTCCATCATTTGAACTTAATAAATTTATTTTCAAAACATCAAATTTTATTAATTTGTTCAAATGTTTTTGATGAAGTGAAAAAAAATAAAGTGCTCACTTACCGGATTAATTTGCCTAAATTATTTTATATCAATATATGGGTTGGCAAACATTCGCTCCAAAACCCAAACTTTATAAATTTTGACAAAACCACAAAATCTCTCTCCCTCTTCTACAATTTCCCAGTTTTTTTTTTTTTTTTTTTTTTTTTTTTTTGGTTTTTCATAAATAAGTCATGTACAACTAACATTGTTTGCAATTATTACATAGAAAATGTACATGTATTATTCATTTTGTACAGCTTTTTTGAAGAAAAAAATATAGACCTGTGCCTTACATTGGACTTACTTCACCATTCGGATTCTCTTTCTATTATTATCATTATTAGGATGCACAGGGTGTAAACATCATTATATCAGTCTGGTTTGATAAAACCTATGACAGATGATAAGTTTAAGTTTAGGTGTAGAGTGGGGAAAATCATCTAAAATTTAAACTTCGAGTACAAAGCATTACTTTGAATTTGTTCAAGTGACGTAATCAACAAAGTTATGTGACATCACAAAATCGCTTTATTACAATACACGCGATCAAACTTCCATCAAAGGTTTACTGCAAGTTCATACATACATTACATATTAAAACCAAAATCTAGATCAAAATACTAGGAAATTGATTCATTTTCAACGTATAAACCTTCGGACAGTATTATCATAGCTACGTGGTTAATGTATAAAATTTAAGAGGACCTAGGAAGAAGAAAGTGTTACGGACGAACGGATTCACTAGGGGAAAAACAATATGCCTAGCTGCAGAATTTTAGCTCTCTAGTTGAGAATATTTGAATATATGCAGCAGAGAACTACAGATACAAGCGATGTAAAAACCTTCGGTTTATGCCGCCGATTTTCTGTTGCTCACCCCGGGTATTATTTGGTGTATGATATTCAATAATTAAGCAGGTATTACTCAACTTTACTAGATACATTATTTACGTTTCAACGGCCCTAGCCAGCCCTTTATGGTTTGCATAATTTACATATTAGTTATAGTTTTAAAATAATAGTAGCTTCCCTCATACATATATGTACATTATGTACAAACGGAACCAACTGGCGTTTCCGTTTTCGTCAAGGTAATCACTGATTCTGTTCTATACTTTTAGCACAATAACTTTTTAAAGTAAATCATACATTACTTTTTCGATTGTATTGTATAACATCTTTAATATTTACGTTTTCTGTTTGGATAAAAGATATATAAATAGTATCGATAAATGTCAATATTCAAACTGTAAGCGTTGTAGTGATTTTGCAAATTTATACAATCCCAATTTGTATTAAAATTTATTCAAAACTATAAGTCAGAATTATTTTTGTTGGTACTTAAATTTTGATCTTAGACTCCATGTCCGAATCATTAAGAGATTGGCATTTCCAGAAGTCGAAATGAAGTATTGTATAATTATGCATTTAGACGATTATGGAAAAAACATAATCTTGATATAGATGAGCACCTATGTATTATAAATACTTACATATAGTACAAGTATCTACATTTTAAATAATTTTGTTTGTATTTTGAGGGTGCATTACTCATTTGTTTAATTTTTTAAAATCAAATATCGGCGTCTTTCGAAAAAGAAATTGAAACCAGGTTTAAACAAAAGTAGATTAACTTGAAATTGTCAACCAATTGTGTCAAGAAGTTGGACGTACTTGAAAGTTGGTCAATGGCACCCCCCCCCCCCCAAAAAAAAAGGTAAAACATAATACAACCGACTTATACAAGTAGGCTGACTGACTTTCGTATAGACGAGTATATATTTGTAAGGTAAACGTACATAAATGGAACAGTATGCCCATTAAATGCTATCTTAATTAAAACAAATGGTCATGTATTATTTTTCTTCTATTTAGAGACAACTTAAAAAGTTTTTAAGTTTAATGAAAGTTATGTTATCTTTTTAGCTCAACTGATACTACCATCTCTTCGTCTTCTGAATTCACAACAATTCATTTGATACTCGTGATAGTTATTCCAGCTACGTTTCTAATTATTTTATCGGTAGGAACCTTCTTTCTTTGCAAAGTGATAAAAAAGAGACGACAAGCAGGTATGTATTTTTTTTCAAACTGGTTTCATCTGAATTCTTCTACCTTGCACTAAAAATAGAAAGCAAATGATTACTTGTAGTTTCTTCTAATAATGTGTAAATTTTTTTCTATATAAAAAATAGTCATATTCCTCTTTTTAAATAAAAATGTGATGCGAAATTCCATTAAATAGCCGAACTGTTGCCATATATACAATTATAAAAGTATATGTACGAGGGTTGTTTGATAAGTACGCGGACACATTGATTTACGGAAAATCTACTGTGTACTGTGAAGTATGACCTATGTTATGTGTAAAACGCCCCCTTACACGTCCGTAGACAGAGTTAGAATTTATGAATCGTGTTTGTATTTGACTGGCACAAGTGAAAGACAAGGATAAATTGAAGATATTCTACGTGAATTTTGCTGGGGAATCGTATGTAGTTTATCCATTTTTATATATTTGCATATTCACTGCTCTCTCCCACTATGAACATGTAGTCATCAACTTGCATTCATGGCACTACAGACGCAACTGCTTCTACCATGAACGCAACTGCTATATCACACTCGTGAAGTGTACGCTCTACTAGAGTTATGATGTGTGTTGAGAAGTATATATATGAAATGTTTCGTAAAAGGAATAAATATAAGTTTTTTTAATAATATCTTTTGGGAAAATAATTCAGGACAATTTAAAATTGCTGATTTATATCTTTAAAAATTTAATTTTGGTCAATGTATTTAATTGTATAATAAAACTTTTTAAAAATTGAAGAGAACTGACATTTTTATTTTTTCTTATCGTATTTTTGCATATTTGTACTCAGATCGATAACTCTTCATATTTGGGTGATAAAACATTCAGAAAAAGCAAAATTCAAGAAGATTTAAACTCTTAAAAGCAAATAGAAAATATATAAAAAAAAAAATATAGAAAAGCATTCTGGAGTTATAATGATTATTAAAGCATTCTCTTTTTTATGATAAGGTTAAATTACAGTATTGCTTTTTTTCAGACGGTTTCAATAACGTTGATCGATGACGTCACATCTGCATCAAAACAAAAATTAAGAGAGTGTGACGACGGCGCAGCTTTTATCTGATAACTGTTTTAAAAGAGGCTAATTTTAAAGCCGTGTGTTTTTCTTTACTGAGACAACAAGCGACATCCTTATGTAAGCCAGGATTTCCTCTGATATTCTTGACACCATCAAAGAATGCAAATACAAGTAATAAACAACGATTATATAGTAAACATGGCATTATGAATAATAATAGCTCTGCTGGCATATTTTCCATGATGCGCGCTAGCGTGCTTCATGGAATATGCCAGCAGAGCAATTGCTATTCATAACACCATGTTCTCTAAATAACGTTGTTTATTTCTTAAATAAATCGCGATAAAAAGTGGAAAATACCCCTTCTTATGTTGGTGAGTTGAATTTCTCTTAAATTATTTTCTCAAGAAGTAAAAAAAATAAGCCTGCACCAGCACAGAGATCTCGATGAATTGATCTTTATGAAACAAACTTTGCACAATAATTTTGTTTTGCCCTTGTGCCGAAGCAAGTTTTGTGCAACATTTAAGAATATCATAAATGTCCGTTACATGTACGTGATCAACACAGTCATGTGACATCACAAATATGCTTTATTATAATACCTGATTAAACTATTATTTCAAGTTGACTGCAGTTTCAAACAAGGATCACATTTTGAAATTAAAATCTAGCTCAAAATGAAATGTATATTTTAAAGGCATTTTAAGCCTTCGGACAGCCTTATCATAATTGCAAAGTAGCATTGTTGTCTATTTTTAGACATTTTCCTATGTGGAAATATGAATTGTAGTAGCTCGTGCTTCAGAACGTTCAATGGCGTTTCAATCTTGGCTTTGTTTTTATGCATTGGTTATATAAAAATGGCTATGAGACGGTTATATACCCTACAATTAATTCAAATTTTCGCCAAGTGATGTGTTATGAATACTGTAGCGACAGGTTATTATCATAAATCTTTTTGCGCTACAACAGTGCAATTTTAATTTCATTTAAAGTCAATGTAATGTAAAGGTACGAAAAAGTTGCATGCTCTGTGAAGCATGTTTTTTCAAGATAATATAGCTGTATATCTTTTATGAATTACCGGAAAACACCAAATATTGGTACAGTGTATATACGAAGGTTGTCTGGTAAAATCGTGGACAAGTTGTCTAGATTAAAAAATAATCCTCACTGCGTTTTGAAATTTTCACTACTCCATTTAGCACATATGATAAATACACAGAGCAAATTTTAAGTAATTATATGCATAAATAAACAAATTGTTAAATTTTATGTTATGTATTGTATCGCCCTACAGCGCACGGATGATAACGTCAAAGTGTCTAATACAGTGTCACGTTTCATCTTTCCTAAAAATAGAGTTGGCTAAGTCAAGATAAATTTAGAAATGCATCGATTCACATACTTGATTCTCCAAAAACAGTTGAGGAACCAATCTGGCACATTCATGCGAACTTCTGAAGATCTATTAGCAAGTTACGGACAGTATTCTCGCCATTCTTCAACTAATAGAGAATAATGTATCGACACTCGACAGTGAAAGCGTCTTCTGTTATTACAATAGCAGTTTGTCCGTATGTTTTGTACTACCAGGAGACTCGATTAAAAATATTCGCTCAGATAACTCCCATTTCATTTGTAAACTAAAGACCTGGTGATCTTTTTTATATTTTTTTTTCATCTGTAGTCATATAGTGTCTTTTAAGGTGCAATCACAACAATTACTGCTCTACGGTGCGCCGTAACGTCATCAAACGTCGACATTTTTTGTGTGTATTGAGTTTACCACTTTCCCACTTCGAATGCTCGGGAAACTGACAAAAAATAACAAAATGTCTTGAAATAAAAAAAAAACGAGAAAATTTATCAAGGAATCGAATTAGGATAATTTTCATCCCAATCTTATGTAGTTAAAATTTTTATTATTGTTCATTTACTGTGCGCCGTAGGACCGTATCCTATACACTTTCAAGCATAATAAAATATCTATTTCTGTCTATATATTTGCAAAAATACTATGATGCACTTAAATATGATAAGTAAACAATTATTGAAAATTTCAGCTCAGATCGCCCATTACTGTTTGAAAAAAAACGCTTTGTCCACGATTTTACCGGACAACCCTCGTACATGTATATTGGAAAAAAGGTAAAGGTTTTATCTGAGGAGTATAACCAGATTCATGAAAATAACGCGCTAACAATAGAACTTCAACGCTAAGTACAACAAGGTTTCCATATAGTTTCTGTTTTGCGGATACTGGCCTTTTCATCCAGTGTTGTCTGCGAACTTTTTAACAACCATCGTATGAAAGTAATGTAGCAGTTCTTGAGTTTCTCCTACTCTCACGTGTATCTTTAGGTGCAATAATTTTATTTCATTCATTTTTTAGCTCACCTGAGCCGAAGGCTCAAGTGAGCTTTTCTGATCACATTTTGTCCGGCGTCCGTCTGTCCGTCTGTCTGTCCGTCCGTCCGTCTGTCTGTAAACTTTTCACATTTTCAACTTCTTCTCAAGAACCGCTGGGCCAATTTCAACCAAACTTACCACAAAGCATTCTTATGTGAAGGGGATTCAAGTTTGTTCAAATGAAGGGCCACGCCCTCATTCAAGGGGAGATAATTGGGAATTAATGAAAATTTGATGGTATGTTTTAAAAATCTTCTTCTCAAGAACCACTGTGCCAGGAAAGATGAAACTTATGGGGAAACATCCTCAGGTAGTGTAGATTCAAGTTTGTTCAAATCATGACCCCCCGGGGGTAGGGCGGGCAAAATGGCCGACCAAAATTTTACATTGAAATATATAGGAAAATTCTTTAAAAATCTTCTTCTCAAGAACCACTGTGCCAGGAAAGATGAAACTTATGGGGAAATACCCTCAGGTAATGTAGATCTAAATTTGTTCAAATCATGACCCCCGGTGTTAGGGCGGGGCCACACTGGCCGACCAAATTTTACATAGAAATATATAGGAAAATTCTTTAAAAATCTTCTTCTCAAGAACTTCTGTGCCAGGAAAGATGAAACTTATGGAGAAATATCCTCAGGTAGTGAAGATTCAAATTTGTTCAAATCATGACCAGCGGGGGTAGGGCGGGGCCAAAATGGCCGACCAAAGTTTTACATAGAAATATATAGGAAAATTCTTTAAAAATCTTCTTCTCAAGAACCACTGTGCCAGGAAAGATGAAACTTATATGAAAGCATCCTCAAGTTGTGTAGATTTGTGTTTGTTCAAATCATGAACCCCCCGGGGGTAGGGCGGGCACAATGGCCGACCAAAATTTTACACTGAAATATATAGGAAAATTCTTTAAAAATCTTCTTCTCAAAAACCATAGTGCCAGGAAAGATAAAACTTATGGGAAAGCATCCTCAGGTAGTGTAGATTCAAGTTTGTTCAAACCATGACCCCAGGGGGTAGGGCGGGGCCACAATGCCCGACCAAATTTTTACATAGAAATGTATAGGAATTTTTTTAAAAAATCTTCTTCTCAAAACTTGCAAAGCCATAATTGATCATATTTATATGGAAGCATTCTCAGGTAGTGTCGATTCAAGTTTATTCAAATCATAACCCCCGGGGTAGGGGTGGCACCAAAATGGTCGATCAAAGTTTTACATAGAAATATATAGGAAAATTCTTTAAAAATCTTCTTCTCAAGAATAGTAAAGTCATAAATGATCATATCTATTTGGAAGTATCCTCAGGTAGTGTAAATACAAGTTTGTTCAAATCATGACCCGGGGGGTGGGGGGGCTGCTTCTTCTCAAAAAAAGCAAAGCCATGATTTGTCATGGGACTACTTTTAGGTTTAAACTTTTCAGTAATAAACCAATTTCTATTTTTTCCTACATGTAGCCACATTGATCAGGTGAGCGATGTGGCCCATGGGCCTCTTGTTAGCTCACCTGAGCCGAAGGCTCAAGTGAGCTTTTCTGATCAAAATTTGTCCGTCGTCTGTCGTCGGCGTAAACTTTTCACATTTTCATCTTCTTCTCAAGAACCACTTGGCCAATTTCAACCAAACTTGGCACAAAGTATTCTTATGTAAAGGGGATTCAAGTTTGTTCAAATGTAGGGCCACACCCTTTTCCAAGGGGAGATAATCATGAATTTGTTAAAAATTAATGGCATTTTTAAAAAATATTCGTCTCCAGAACCGCTGGGCCAGGAAAGATGAAACTCATGTGGAAGCATCTGCAGGCAGTGTAGAATCAAGTTTGTTCAAATCTAACCCCCGGGGCAAGGGTGGGCTAAAATGGCCGACCCAAGTTTTACATAGGAATACATATGAAAAATCTTCTTCTCCAGAACCACTGAGCCAGAAAAGATGAAACTCATGTGGAAGCATCCGCAGGTAGTGTAGATTCAAGTTTGTTCAAATCATGACCCCCTGGGCAAGGGTGGGGCCAAAATGGCCGACCCAAGTCTTACATAGGAATATATAGGAAAAATCTTTAAAAATCTTTTTCTCAAGAACCACTAGGCCAGAAAAGATGAAACTCATGTGGAATCATCCCCAGGTAGTGTAGATTCAAATTTGTTCAAATCATGACCCCCGGGGCAAGGGTGGGGCCAAAATGGCCGACCCAAGTCTTACATAGGAATATTTAGGAAAAATCTTAAAAAAATCTTTTTCTCCAAAACCACTAGGCCAGGAAAGATGAAACTCATGTGGAATCATACCCAGGTAGTGTAGATTCAATTTTGTTCAAATCATGACCCCAAGGGCAAGGGTGGGGCCAAAATAGCCGAACCAAGTTTTACATAGGAATATTTAGGAAAAATCTTTAAAAAATCTTCTTCTCAAGAACCACAGGGCCAGGAAAGATGAAACTCATGTGGAATCATTCTCAGGTAGTGTAAATTCAAGTTTGTTCAAATCATGACCCCTGGGGCTAGGGTGGGACCAAAATGGCCGACCCAAGTTTTACATAGGGATATATAGGGAAACCTTTTAAAATCTTCTTTTCAAGTACTTCAAAGCTATGATTTGTGATATATATATATATGGAATCATCCTCAGGTAGTGTAGATGTAATCTAGTTTGTTCAAATGATGAACGCCTGGAGGGGGGGGGGGAGTAAATTCAAGCCCGATGTGCTCAGGTGAGTGCTGTAGCCCCTGGGCCTCTTGTTTATGTTTTATGTTTTAAATTACAGTTAAACTCAAATTTTCAGTTTTTCCATGGATGATAAAATATTACAATTTAATTTATGCGAGCCAGTATAAAAATATTCGAAAGAACATTTAACCAATAAACATATTTACATCATACTATTAAAGTGAACAGATACCAGCAAAGGACAGTTTATTAAAAAAGAAGAAAAACCTTGCATTGTAGGCAATCGTACAATTGGCGATGAGGAAGTAGGAATTCCGTTACAAACATCTATTTCAGGTAGGTTGTTACAATGTTGATGAAATACCTTTATACAGTCTTCGACAGAATCACTGTAGTCTATATCAATATGTTTATAAAATCTGATACTTTTATTAACATAAATATATGTTGTATATTCACAGTAATATCTGTCAGAACTTGTGGTTATTTAAGTTTGCACTCTATGTGACATGTATACACGCTTGAACAAAATATTGAAAAAAATAAGTATTGTACGTTAAATAACAAAAATAATCTAGATTAATATTTAGTTGTTTACTTAAGATGCACCTGAAGTTCAAGAAGGAACAGAAGAAGCGAAGCACCCTAAAACTCAAAGCAATGCAGATGGTAAAGGTTTAAATTGCCGTAAACGTATTATTTCTAATATCGTTCAAATAACAAAAGTTTTCAAAAGCATAATTTCGAGTAGAAAATTATAACAAATTGATATTAAATTTTGATTTCGTGTCTTTTCTTCATGATGTACATTCTTTCTTCGTAAAAAAATATCTCTTTCCTAAATATATAATGTTCCTTACGATAAATTATTTATTTGTTTGAGATAATGAACATTTTTAAACTTGATCAATAGATTTTCCTGCATACAGAAGAATATTGTTCTTTTTTAGATAAAAAAAAATGTGATAAAAATGCCATTAAATAGAAAGTAAAACCATTGCCATATATACATTTATACATGTATAGAAGTATGAAGCAGTTTTTGTCTTTAAAGTTCTGCCTTCACCCACCAGTATCTAAATGTGTTTAATTTTTTTTACATACTTTTTTATGTTTAATATTTTAAATTAAAGTTTAATTTGAATTTAAGGACAGATGATACAAACATTTTTTCTTCTTTGGAGGAGACTTGATATCATGTCTCGAGTTTAGAAAAGTGGATAATTCTAAGATATTTTTCTCAAAATAAAAATGGAAAACGAAATAGACTTGGAAAATTTAAGTAATATTTCAATAAAATTACAAATATGGATAAAACACACTTTGTTAAGGTTTACAGATGAAAATAAATTTTAGAATATGCTTTTTTGGTGCTAAAAGTGTAATATAATCTTCAGAAAAGTATACCAAGCCAGGTGAATTTTATCAGGAAAAGTAAAATAGTAAATACTACCGTATATGATATAGATGAATTTTTGTCATTTTGTTTTTCTTCCTAAAAATTTGTATTTTTCTAAGGTTTATATTGCACTTTTAGCACCAAGATAACATATTATGAAATTTGTTTTCACCTGAAAACCTTTACTTAGTGTGATTTGTCTATTTTTTTTTCATTGAAATATTACTAATATTTTCCAAGTCTATTTCATTTTCCAGTTCCTAGGATAAAAAATTCTAAGAATTACCGGTATACACCTTTCTAAACTTGTGACATGCTATTAAGTCTCTTCCAAACAAAAAATTGTTTGTATCATCTGTCCTTAAGTTGTTTTCCTGGATGAAAACAAATTGAAATTTAATGCATGTGAGCCAGTAAAAAAATATTCGAAGATTGTTTTTTACGAATAAATATGTTTACATCATGTACTTATTCAGTAATGATGTACCAGTGAAGTAAAGTTTATCTAAAAAAATCTTTTCTCACTAGGTAATCGTACAGTTGGCGATAAGGCGGTAGAATTTCCATTACAAACACCTAATTCAGATAGGTTTTACTTATATGTTGTTACAATGTTTATGAAACACCCTTATCTTTACAGTCTTCGACAGAAATACTGTAGTCTAAAGAGTTTAATAAATCTGGTACTTTTGTTAACATTTATATATGTATATGTTCTATAATCACAGTAATATTTGTCAGAAGTTGTGCATTTCAAAATCTTTAAAAGGAATCGAGACGGATTTAATTGTTTTAAGGTTTGATTTTTTTTTAAATCTTGACGTGAATGATAATATCACAACAAAATAGTGTTATAACCATTATGACTTCAACTTTCCCATCGTCAAGTATACCATTATCATCTGCATGTTAATGGGGTTTTGTTTCCTAGTTTGATCGATATGCTAGAGCATGCTCAAAGTCACATACATTTCTAAAACGAGTGAAGCTAAAACAAGAATAGAAGCTGTTTCGTCTAAAGACAACATTTCAAAAATTTTATGGTCGATACAATTATGCAATAAGCGAATAAAAATTATAAATTTTCATTAAGCCAAATATTGATACATGTAAGAATGCATTCGTTTTTGTCGAATTTACATGTTTAAATTTCATGAATAGATTTTCCTGCATACAGAAGAATATTGTTCGTTCTTAAATTTAAAAAAAAATGTGAGAAAAAATGCCATTAAATAGAAAGCCAAACTATTGCCATATATACATTTATACATGTATATAAGTATGAAGCAGTTTTTGTCCTTAAAGTTTTGCATACACCCACAAAAATCTAAATGCGTATATTTTTTTTACTTATCTTTTTTATGTTTAATGTTTTAAATTAAAGTTTAACTTGAGTTTAAGTTGTTTTCCTGGATGAAAACAAATTGAAATTAAATGTGTGTGAGCCAGTATAAAAATATTCCAAGATTTTTTTTTACGAATAAATATGTTTACATCATGTACTTATTGAGTAATAATCACCCTTACTAATGTGTTCGGAACCTTTTTACTTTTCGGTGTTCTGCACGTTATAAAACCCGATAAGTTCATAATAGGTTTTGTGGTGGTTCTGGCGAGACTTAGGGAGACTAGAGCGAGATAGGGTAAATTATTCACGGAAATGTGGCTAGGGAGAGACTTGCACGTGAAGACACGGTAAAAAAATCAGTTTTCACCACCATATAATATCTGTAGAAATGTACTTCATGTACATGTACTTCAAATGTACTCTCTTGAATTAATTAAAACTTAAATAAGTATTCTCTATGATACAATTTCTGCAGTAATGAATTAAAATTTCTTTTAGAACAAATATTTTTGCATGGAACCGGGACTATATTTTTTGGCGTAAGATTAGCAAACAAGGAAAAAAAACATGACTTTAACTGACAAATCAGCTGATTGAGAATTGCATTATGGGATACTTGGGATTTTACGCTTGAAAGAAAAGGAAAATCTTATGGCGATCGGAAAGGCACAAAGACCATTTTTCCATCCATTTCGTAAAAATGAAAAGCATTTTCGAAGTCGAGATGAGCTTATGCTATACCCCCGGCGTTGGCGTCGGCGTTAGCGACGGCGTCCCAGGTTAAAGTTTAAGGAGCAAGTCCATTCCAAAGTAACAATAAGCCCTACCTGAACCAAACTTGCATGGATGATGCATCTAGGGATGTACAATACCAGACTTGCTTCGGATGCTGGATCTGACCTTCATTTTGAAGATGAGCGACCAGGTTGAAGGTTTTGGAGCAGGTTAGTTTTTGAAGCAGGTCCATTCCCAAGGAACTATAAGGCCTACCTGGACCAAACTTGCATGGATGATGCATCTAGGGATGTACACTATCAGACTTGCTTCGGATGCTGGATCTGACCTACATTTTCCAGATGAGTGACCAGGTTAAAGTTTTTGGAGCAGGTCCAATCCAAAGGAATTATAAGCCCTACCGGACCAAACTTGCATGGATAATGCATCTAGGGATGGACACTACCAGACTTGCTTCAGATGCTGGATCTGACCTACATTTTCCAGATGAGTGACCAGGTTAAAGTTTTTTGAGCAGGACCATTCCCAAGGAATTATAACCCCTACCCGGACCAACCTTGCATGGATGATGCATCTAGGGATGGACACTACCAGACTTGCTTCGGATGCTGGATTTGATCTACATTTTCATTTCCAAGTAACTTTAAGACCTAGCTAAACCAAATTTGCATGGCTGATGTATCTAGGGATGGACAATACCAGACTTGCTTCGGATGCTGGATCTGACCTACATTTTCATTCCCAAGTAACTATAAGCCCTACCTGAACCAAACTTGCATGGATGATGCATCTAGGGATGGACACTTCCAGCTTGCTTCGGATGCTGGATCTGACCTACATTTTCATTCCCAAGTAACTTTAAACCCTACCTGAACCAAACTTGCATGGATGATGTATCTAGGGATGTTCACTACCAGATTTGCTTCGGATGCTGGATCTGATCTACATTTTCATTCCCAAGTAACTATAAGCCCTAGCTAAACCAAACTTGCATGAATGATGTATCTAGGGATGGACAATACCAGACTTGCTTCGGATGCTGGATCTGATCTTCATTTTCATTCCCATGTAACTATAAGCCCTACCTGAACCAAACTTGCATTGGTGTTGCATCTAGGGATTGACACTACCAGACTTTCTTCGGATGCTGGATCTGACCTACTTTTTCATTCCCAAATAACTATAAGCCCTAGCTAAACCAAACTTGCATGGATGCTGTATATAGGGATGGACACTACCAGACTTGCTTCAGATGCTGGATCTGACCTACATTTTTATTCCCAAGTAACTATAAGCCCTAGCTAAACCAAACTTGCATGGATGATGTATCTAGGGATAGACACTACCAGACTTGCTTCAGATGCTGGATCAGTCCTACATTTTTATTCCCAAGTAACTATAAGCCCTAGCTAAACCAAACTTGCATGGATGATGCATCTAAGGATGGACACTATCAGAATTGCTTCGGATGCTGGATCTGACCTATATTTTCTATACAAGAGACTAGGTTAAAGTTTTTGGAACAGATCAATTTGAATGAATTTGAAGTCCTTGATATCTGCAGTATTAACAGTTATGAATATTTGTTTACACTATACATGTTTTTCACGCTACACGTGTAGAAATGTCTAAATGCCATGTAAGGGGTTAAACACAACGTGCAAGAATATTGTTCTTGGGATGAATACTAAATATTAAGAAAATATGATGTGAGATTTGCATAACTTAAACTGATAACATTCGTCGAGGTGAGCTTCGTAATCTTTGATTACCTATGTTTAATAAATTGTATTATTTTCATGTTCACATTGACAAACAATTCATTTGTTATATAAACAGTGGCAGTCTAGGTTTCTCAAAGTCATGCTGCCATTGAAAGCGACATGCGTCTCTATTAATTCTTTTGTTGTACTATCGGTGAATACAGTTGTCAGGTGGAGTCCCTGGCCAAAACACGAGAATAGTTATGTACAACTGTTTTGTTTATTTAAATTCATGAGACGATGCTCGTTTTCCGTACCTTTGTTGAAGCGATGGTGTTCTGAACTTGACACAAAGCACATTTATTAAACATATTTCTGTCTAATTTACAAAAGATTAAAAACGCCCGTGAAATATTTCATACTTTCTAATCTTTGGATTTTGTTCATAAGAACAGTTTTTTTTTTTAATTTTGCACTCTATTGACATGATCATAGATTGACCTGAACAACGTGTTCGAAATAAAATGTAAACATGTACTTGTATTTGGTGTAAACGTTGCTATTCAACGATTGGTCAGTTGCTCGTGGTAAGATCCTCTGTGCGTATTAATAACAATAGTCATATCAGGCAAACAAAGGTTGTCAGTGTAGATGATAATACAAATTCTTACCAGCGTATCGATCGCAAGTGTGCTCTAATTTTGATAAGATATATTGTTATTTTAAGCCACCCCCTTTAGCCACCATTTTTCTGTTAAAAATCATGAAAGTGTTTCAGAAAGGTCTGGAAACACATTTTTCACAGGAAATCTTTTCGAAAGAAACAGAAGGTATTCGAACAGACTATACCAATATTTCTTGTTTTATTGCCAACTTTATTCATAAAACCGGTCCCATCCTATAATATTTGAATGGGTCAACCTAAACCACGTGTCTTGAATTTAAATCACGATAACATTAGTAGGGGTGAAGATGTACCTGTGAAGTAAAGTTTACATGTATCTAAAAAAAACTTTTCACACTAGGTAATCGTACAGTTGGCGATGAGGCGGTAGAATTTCCATTACAAACACCTAATTCAGGTAGGTTTTACTTACATGTTGTTACAATGTTTATGAAACACCCTTATCTTTACAGTCTTCGACAGAATTACTGTAGTCTAAAGGGTTTAATAAATCTGGTACTTTTGTTAACATTTATATATGTATTTGTTCTATAATCGCAGTAATATCTGTCAGAAGTTGTGCATTTCAAAATCTTCAAAAGGATTCGAGACGGATTTAATGGTTTTAAGGTTTAATTTTTTTTTTAAATCTTGACGTGAACGATAATATCACAACAAAATAGTGTTATATCCATTATGACTTCAACTTTCCCATCGTCAAGTATACCATTATTATCTGCATGTTAATGGGGTTTTGTCTCCTAGTTTGATCGATATGCTAGAGCATACTCATAGTTACATACATTTCTAAAACGAGGGAAGGTAAAACAAGAATACAAGCTGTTTCGTCTTAAGTCAACATTTCGAAAATTTTATGGTCGATACAAATATGCAATAAGCGAGTAAAAATTATTAATTTTCATTAAGCCAAATAGTGATTGACGTTTTGAATAAAACGATTTTTTTGGCACATAATAGGGTTATTTGGGAAGTTCGTTGACTCCTATCATTTTTTTCTTATCTATCGTCATATACTGTATGTATACTATAAAAACGGGCTTCATATTTTAGCTGCTTTGGCGGAGACAACAAAGATTAATTCAGGAATACCGCTAAGAAATCATTTACATATACATTACACTGAAGGGTCATGTGTAGCGCTAATTTATGATAACGCCAACAACTCCATACCCAGTGATAACGCTAAATTTTGAATACGCCAAATTATGTACACGTACAGATGGCGATGCCATTTTAAGTTATACTCGGGAAAAATCCTGAATAAAAACCTAAAAATGTTAAAGGAATAAAACAAAGTATCATAAGTAAGTCATGCATGTGTTTATGAATGGTACAGGCGGTATTTGTGTGACAGAGACTATATACGGACGAGGAAAATCTGCGAAGAAAAGGGTTATCTGGTAAAATCTGAATAAAAACTGGTCATCTTCCAAGAACAGGAACGTCATTGAAAGACATAGGCGCTTCAGAGTTGCTGATCTCGTGAAAGCAGAATTAAGTGGTCAAAGAAATAATTAAAACAATGACAAAAGAAATTATAGAACGAGAACAAGTGTAAGAAAAATGAATGTCAAGTGGTCGGCCCTTTGGTGTTTGGTGAAATGCACATTGACCTTAGTGTCTCTTGAAAGAACTTAATTAGTGGTGTATGCGTACATACCAAATACGAAGTCTTTATCTCTCATGGTTCATAAGTTATGGTGAAGGTTAAAGTTTACAGACGAACAGACAAACAGACAGGACAAAAACAACATGCGCCACCAATCAATCAATCCGGGCCCATAATTATGTCTAAATGTATTTTTTAAAAATATATTGCACCAATTCAACAATGAATACATTGAGTTTTGAATACTTGAATTGTTACATTAGAAGTGATCCAGAAGAAAAAAAATCTTCAATTGATGAAAAAATAATGATCCAATACTCGTACGAAACTTTAATTATATGTCGTATGAGCGTGTCTTCCTTTTTTCTTTCCGTTAAAACTCTTGCATTGGTAATAAATGTATTGTATAGTGTATTTTATTTCATGGAAATATCAGGTATTGGACTGTGAGACAGAAAGAATATTTTTCTGAAGAAACCTAATAATCTTTTCGTTTCCAAATTGTAAAACTGAAGGATATTTTAGCTTTAGAAATATTTCTATTGCATAAATAAAACTAATTCATTGATACATGCCTCCTAATGAAACTTAGTACTGTGAACTTCATCTTTTTATAAAATACAGTTTTAAATTTATTTCGTTAATTGTGATGAAAAATTTTGATTAATTACAACAAAAATGACGCAAAAAATAGAGAAAAGGGAATGGATTGTCATACTGGTTGTTAATTTTTTAAAGTAATATCAAGGACAAATAAACACTTAACTTAAAGTGAGTAAAACATGTCGTAAGGATAATCCAGAAATCAATATAACACCGGCTCTCCCTCAAACCTACATGTGTAACTAGTCATTTTGCCCATGGTCTGTGTTTCGTAGTCAAACCAGTTGTTAAACATAAATGTTTATCACAATAAGAAGCTGACTGCACAAAACACGTGCCACAAATGATAGTTTTTGAAAATTGTCATGGGACATTGGTTTTCATCGCTGGTTATTGATTTTCTTTCGACAATTGTAGAGAAGATCCATTGGTTATATAATAATGTGAAAATATTCATTTCTACATGTATCATGCGGTATTTTGAAAAAGAACATTCATTAAAGTGAACACTAGGAGGTTTTGTTAAGTGTACATTTTGAGTATGCTAACATAGCCTTAATTTCGTGACATTTATGCTGACAACTGCCCGAACCAAATACATGTATGTTCTCAATAAGTAGAACAATCGAAAATGTATGACAACTTTCGAGAGAATTGGTATTGTCAAGACGAATGCTTAAAACCAATGCATTTACAGCATACAACATAATAAAATATCCGGAACATTTACTGGAATTATTATACCTCGGAGAGGAGAAAGACCATTCTAAAATTAAAAAAAATAATTTTTTTTTTCAAACAAAATTTCACAACAGGCCCTTTTTAATTAAAGGTTTGTATATATAACCATAGAAAAAATAACTATTAACAAATCCAAATTTTGACCAGCAGTATTTACTCCTCAAATCACTTGCAAATGTAAAAACAGTTCCTTCTCAGTATTTGTGAAGAATGTAAGGTAGAAAATATAAACAGCATCTACGTCTTCAATTCTTTAAAATACATGTTTGCATATTATCTTTTTAATTATTAATTTTAGTTTACAATCTGCATGCGCAATAGCAATCCATACATTTGATTTTGCATATGTATATTTCAGGTGAATTTGATGTCTGTAAAGAAGAGGAAAAAAGTAGAGATAGTAAAGTTTATCAATCGAATTACACTGTAGGGGATATTAAGTTAAAAATGGATTTAAAATGATATATTAATGGCTTTTTTACACTTACATCTCAAAAGAAAAACAAATACTTTGTGGTTTATAAGTATACATTATAAGATAACATGTGACTGAGAGCATATTTTTTTTGTACAGTGTAGTTGTGTCATATTTGCTTGTTTAAGTGTACATTATGCTTAACCTTTTCACTTACATGTATCAATTCGTTCAGTAATTCTAGTCGGTTACACAGGATAAAATAAATTGAATTGTGGGCATTCTATAAAAACGAAATTTAGAGATTTAACCCTCTTACATGTGAGTTAGTATTTTTAGCATGGGCATATCTACATAGTTTTTTAGAAATTCATTTCTACACTTATTTTGTACGTAATATACAGCGAATAAGTCTAGAGTTGTTCCGAATTTGACCTCTGACATGGCCCTCTATTGGATGTTGTTAGATGTTAGTGTAACGAGTATGCGAGAGGATCTTAAATCTAATTTTAATTAGATTGAACAAATATACGATGATTTTGCAGGTAACAATTTGATTGGTTGATAGAATTTGACCTTTGACGTGACCCTCTACAGGATGTTGTTTGATGTTAATGTAGCAGGTATACGAGTGAATCTTACAGAATCTTACATGTAATTTTAATTGGATTGATATACTGTGAAATCATAAATTTTCGTGGGGGTTTAATTTTCGTTGTTTTCGAGGTATGAAGAGACCCACGAATTCATGTCCACCACGAAATGTTAAATACATAACTACTCAACAATTCTTCATCCACGAATTCAAATCCCCACGAACCAAGAATTTTAACTCAAACCACGAAAATTTGACCTCACGAAAATATGTGATTTTACAGTATATATGTAAAACATTCTTAGCGTTTAGTAAAATGTCATAATATTAAATGTAGAATTTTCTAGACAGATCGTAGTTCTTAATTATATACTTTCTATTATCTACATGTACATACAGGTAAACATAACCAGAATATCGGATTTCTATGCATTACGTAAGAAAGCCAGATTAACTAAATTCAGCAGAAAATTTTGTCACAAGGCAGTCAGAAAAGATATTCATAGAATGATATTTTGCCAATAGTTTTTTACTTTGTACCAATTTGTTCCTTCTATCTTTTTTGCGTTGTTGAATGACTTTGATCATGTAGCACCAATTGATAAAAAGTATTTTCGAGCATGTAAAACTCTTTAAAATGTATTATAAATATATATATATATATATGGGTACTACCGATATAGACAAATATTTCTAATAGTGTCTTATAGCGTAAGTGACAAGAATTTCAAATGTTTTGTGGTAGTGGCTTGTTTGATCGATTTTTTCCATAAATACAATTAGAAGGAAATCTCATCATTTGTTTTTCATCGGCTGTAAGAATACATTCCAGTCAAAAAGCAACAAACTCTTATATGAAATATCTATTGATATTGTAACCCGGTATCCAGTAAAGAGGAATGAGTTCTTTTGGATGTAGATATGTTTTATTGATGTCAATAAATGGTATATGTAAAAAAAAGCCTGATAATAAAATAATAAAATTAATAAAATAAAATGCAATACTTATATCACAAACCTTAGCCAAGAATTACTTTACTTTACTTTTTTTACTTGCTGCTGTTTATAATTAGTCATTATAAAATCATTTAACTTCTTAATTGTTTCAGATGATCTTTGATAAAATAAATAATGAATGATAAACAATTTCTCAACAAACGAAATGAAAGGAAACAAAATCAAAATAAAACCAACATAAAAAAAAATAGTACGCCACAACATGAAACATGCAGAGCATCCATATGACATACATGAAGAAAAAACAAGCGAATACACACAATAAATCTTAACTCACATGAGGTGTGAAAGTTTTAACATATACACCTTGAGTGTACAGCCATTATGGCAATAGAAGGGCAATATCCTGTATATAAAACTTAGGGTCAATTTAATTTTAAGATAGATTTTAAAATTTATTAAGAAAAACAAAATTGACTTTCTCATATACAGTGGAGCCTCATTAATCTGGACGCTTTGGTCCCCAGTCAATATGTCCGGATATGTGAAACGTCCGGTTACATGAATTACCAGTTAAACAAGACAAACTAACACTTAAAAATTCTGTTCCAATGAAAAGTCGTCCGGATACTGAAGCATCCGGATATCTGGCGTCCGAATATCTGAAGGTCCACTGTATAATGAAAACTGTTTAATCCTATACCTGAATAATCCGAAACAAAAAGGAGAATGACACTCCGTTAAAAGAGCCAACCGACGAACATTTTAAGGTAGGACACAATAGATAGGCCATATTTTTCCTCAAATTCATTTTTTCTGAAGCTTTGATATTTTGTGCTAGGATACAATATACTATGTTGTGCGCGGGGTGTATGCTTCCAAAGCGAGAGAAAGGGGGTCAATGTAGAAGTATATATTGTGGAAATATTTATACACGTTTATAAGCGACAGGTAGTGTTGATAAAAGACCTTAATACTAATGCCAAACCAAAAAGTAAAGTCTATAAACTTACTGAAGTATAAAACAAATCAACTTAATTTTAAAAAATCAAAAGAATAAAAACAATTAAAAACAAAGTTAACTTTCATATTCAAACATAACAGGCTCTAGATGTGCGAGGAGCGATTGTTATCTGGTCTAAATCTACGTAATCATAAAAGATAAAATCTCTCCAAAGGGGGCCCTCGCCCAATCCCTGCATTGAGTACACTTTGTCCTTTCTTCGGATCATTTTAACCTATATATTTCGCCTGTTAAAAATAATAGAAACACTACATGAATGGTGTATTATGAATAAATCTCTTTTGTTTCTGCAACTTTTATGTTATCAATACATGCATTCTTAAGCATTTATGACAGTGATGTAGAATCTTTTTTGGAGGGGGGATACCAGAAAAAACCTTGACATAAGTTGACTAGCTATAAAGGGGGGGGGTATCGAAACTCATAACTACTGTATTTCAGAGTGGGTTGAAGGTCCCATCTTTTTTCAATAACCATTCTCTTTTTTTTAACTTAAACATACTACATAATCATTGTTTGACTATGCTGCAACTAAAAAAGGGGGGGGGGCAACTTGACTTTCGATGAACATTTTCTTTACACAGGTACTTGTGGACAGGACCCCCCCCCCCCCACACACACACACACGATATTCAACCCCGGGGCTTATTTGACATTTTTTTTCACAACTTATATTTAGTAACCTTATTCAACATGTTTGCAATAGGAACAAATCGTCAAAACCCCAAAATAATCGATCCACAAAAATACCCCACTATACATTATATTTTCAAAGGGGGGGGGGCTGATACTACGTGTTTGTATGATATATTAAATTAATTTTCCTTTCAATTTTTGCAATATGTGGATTCATTTTTCCTTATCTGAAAAGATTTCATATTTTACAAGTCACAATAAACATGTAAAGCCAGCTGTAAAAATGCACATTTGTAATAAGGGACGACAATTTTCTGAGGGCAAGCATAATTGAAAAAAAAATGTTTTGGGTACAATTACAATTTTACGTTGACGTATAATTAATATCAATTAATGTTCACCCCTCCTCTAATTTATTATCGTATATACACGTAGTAAAGTTACCCCCCCCCCAAAATGACCTAAGACACCCCCCCGGTCCATTCCTAAAAAATATGTACTCGGTACAATACAATGCCTCAATATCAAACAAATAGTTTACTGCCAAATGTGAGCTCCTGGGGGCAAAGTACACAGCATATAAATACTACATGAAGGAAAAATTTTTTGCGGTGTTTAAGACAAAACAAAAAGCTTAATATTTTCAATAAAAGGGGTGTAGAGATAACGAACAGTATTCAATCTCAAAGTCCATAAAACAATAATCAAGAGCAGAGGAAACACGGACGTCCGAATCATCAGAGGTAGGATCAGGTGCCAAGGGATGAGTGAGCATCCCCTGCTGACTGGTCACACCCGCCGTGTGCTCCTTGTCATGATCGTGAAATAACGGAAAAATCCGTCGTCCATTCAGTGTATAAATAATGGACTAATAATTGGTTTGAAAAACATTCAGTCAGCATTTGACTCAATGATAAACTGTATTTGCTGACAAGGTCATTGTATCTACCATAGAACTTAAGAAATGATGTCTTTAAACAAGACTGCTGATATTCTTGTTTCATCAACTTGCTTGTCAATAATTTACCTCGTTTTAGAAATTGTTCATACGTAGAGCATGCTCTTGCGTCTCCAATCTACTGAGTTATATACACTCCGTATGCAGTATCATTTAATAAATGTTGAAAAAAGTTAAACAGAAATTATGAGAAAACGTTAAATGTTCAAAATCATGTCGCTTATAAACGTGTATAAGTATTTCCACAATATAAACTTCGCACTAACAATCCCAAGAAAATTTTTGGGTATACACCCCGCGTACAACATGTTGCATACACCCCGGACACAACATAGGTTTTTCGTCAATATCTTTATATACGAACTGTTTTATTAACAGACAATTTGTACAAACATTTATCTAGCAATCATGTATTTAACAATAATATAAAAGTGATGATAAAGCAAAGCTTTCTTCAGATATTTGATCATAAACACAGTGTTGCGTCAATCTTGCTCCGATCCTCGGTATTGTGTTGAGGTGTTTGATAAAACTAGAAGGTTTCCAGTGAATTCATAGATATCCATATACTCCTCAGATAATGCTTTCTTCCGTAGGCATATGCTTTCTGGCGAAAAATATCCGTAAGTTGAGAAAATGGACAAAGAATCTACATTGACCCCCTTTCTCTCGCTTCGGAAGCATACACCCCGCGCACAACATAGTATACACCCCGCATGTTGGGATATACACGGTGATACAGGGGTCATTGGTTTTTATAAATATAGAAAATTATTCTTTATTTATCCAGTATTTTAAAAAAAATTAGTAAACATAGAATCCAGGGGTGTTATGTACTACCTTAAAACATTAAAAATCGCCGATATCACAGTTACATGTAGGCCTACATGTCCATTCTCGAAAGTGGCCCCCAAACATGGCAGCCAAGAAAGCCGAAGAGTGTTGACGACGTTCCAGTAGTAGTGGAAAAGCGAACATGTAGGTTTCCTATGATTTTAAACTTATTGAAAATAGCTTATGCATTATAGATACTATATAAAATGCTTGACTGGAATGTGTTTTATAAGTAAAATACAAACAATTATAGCAAGGCTTGCGGGGCAAAGTTGGACAAAAAAGATACTTCAACTTGGCAAATCTGTAAAGGAATATATAGAAATTTATGTCATTAACAGTTATCTTTTATCAGTTATCTGGGTATCAATGAACATTAGACATGATCTACTTGTGTACACGCAGTTCTCACATAGGCACCAGTTATGAACGTGCAATTTTGTTTCCTTGACAATCTTAACAATCAATTTGAGGAATTTGTGATCATATTTTCCTTGTAAAAAATCATATATATATAACAACAAAAAAACTTCCCCATTATTGATTTAAATTGAAAATTACATATTAACTATATTGATTACTCGTCAACAGAATCTATTTAATATTAACATCATGATGATATTTGATTCTTTTTAAAATTAAATTCTACATGGAGTCTTCGTGTACTGTTCCTTATTTCTTTTCCAGACATCCTCAACAGCAAGTTCCAATATTTCCAAAGTAAGAGCCTCAGTCAAAATGGTGATTGATACATATTGATTTCTCTAACAATGGTCAAGTTTTTTCTTTTACTTCCTTGTGAATTTCTTTCTTTGTGAGATTCCACTTTTCAGAGCGTATATTGCATATGTTTGACAATAGAGTACAGCTCATTTTGATGATGATTCTAAATTATACGTCTGCATTTCAGTGCTTTCTTTTTTCTTATTTGTAACTATCTCTAGTTGGTTATGTAATGGTTTTTGTAGACGGTGGAAATGATCCAATATTTAAAGATCCCCATTTTCTTCATTTAGTGTTATTTCCTGATATGTCGGTTCATTTTCAGCACATACAATTTGTTCATCCGAACCTCCTCGTCTCCTTTGGTAAAATTCGTTCATAGCGAAGAGTATAACAAAAACTGTTATAATAACTATAATACCAAATGCGCCTAAGCGGAAATAAATACGCTTTCGTCCTAATTCATTGATTTTGCCGCTAA